AAACATGTCCCAAATGTTGTGGATACAGAAGTAAACGAAAACCAAACTCCACCCTGGAGCTGTTTGCAATCTATTGGGCAAGGTAGAAAGCAGCAGATAAACAAACGAGCACTGTAATTAATCTGTGAGGTGTGTAAGAGGAGCATCAGTCTGTTCAGACCCACGCGTGGGGACGGACGGCCCAAGAGCGCGGAGACGTTAGCGAGTTTCACACCTGGCGTCAGGCTGCTTCGTCTCTAAGCATCACGACTGCATCCAAGTGATCCGGAAGGAAGGGGCAGAGAAAGTGTGTGCCTCTCTCTGCAAATTCTACATCCCAGCCCCCACCCCCAGCCACAGAAGTCTCTCCTTCCTGAGTGTCTGGGGCCCCAGGAGTCCAAGCTGGACTCTGCCCTTTAACGAGGACAGGTAAGGTCCGCGGAGACGACCGATAGTGTTAGGAAAAGACTAAGAAGCTTAGAGGCAAGAAATGGAGAGTCGAGATTGCTTTCAACAGTAACTTGGTGGGCAGATGTCCAGCTTGTTTAGATCTTGCCCTCTGTACGGTGGAGTCATTTGTGTCATAAAGGTTAAAGGAGATGCTGCATATAAACTTTTGGGGAACACTGTGTGTTAAGTGGGCTTACTACAAATGCAGTAGAATAAAGCTAAGCTCAGTTTGCCCCACTGCAGAATTCTTAGATGCCGGTGCAAAGCTGTGATGAATTCAGCTTCTCTGTCCTCATGTCAATGGGATACAGTAATCACCCCACCTTTGGGTTTCCTCTCCTGCCTTCTGCCTCCTGCCTCCTGCCATGGTGGAAAGCACTCAGTGCAGAATCCCAGCAGCCCCCAGTTCCTCCCAGCAGGCCCTATTTCCTCCCAGAAGCCCCCAGTTCCTCCCAGGGCTCCCAGCCCTCCTCGTGCTCACTTCCCCTCCAGTATCTCCACCTCTCTGATGACTTCACCGTTTGTTCCAGGCTCCAAGCCCCCAGGCTCTTTTTCTTTTCTTAAATCCCACATGAGCCAGTTGCAGTTATATTTTTTGACTAATGCCCCCTGCATACACACTGTTCTCTCTGTGTCCCTGCCAGCAGCTGGTTTTAGTTGTCTTATTTAACCCCCATCTACAGAACAAAAAAGATCTGCTAAAAAGTCTGCCCTTTCTCCTCTCCTTGCTCCTCCATTATTACATTAGAATTATAACCCGCAAGCAGAGGCCCCAGTATTCAACTTCTACTCTGTTGCAGTCAAGCTATTCTTAAGCACGGCTTCGTTATTTTGCTATGCCTCTCTCTCTACGCATTCACAGCTAATGGGCGTTCTTGGTTGAAACGTCTCTTTGTCCAGAAAGCCACTGGGCCAGTCCTTCCCCTAAAACCCTGCAAGTGCACACTCCCTTCTTTCAGTTCCCTGTCCCACGTGCTTTAACATCTTTTCCAGGCACTTCCGGTGTCTGTGCTGTAGTGTTTGATGTGTGCGTCTAGCCCAGTTCGTATAGGGCTCATGATTCACCACTCAATCCCTGGCTTTCCGTGAATATTCAGAGGCGTTTGCTGATGTAAACAAGTGCACCACGCAGCATCACACCCACCAGTCTCTTAGAACAATGACCACAGCACTGCGTGTATTCGCTGCTGTGTGCCTCGCTCATACTCCGCAATGATTTTGTCAAGATGAGGAATCACGCCTTCATCACCTCTAACAAAAGCAGTGAACAAATGTGACTGTGTGGCCTGGAATGAGACCCCAGCAAACAAAACTCATCCATCTAAAAAGGAAGCCGTCTCCAGCACATCTCGTCCCTGTGCTCGCTGTGGGTGAGAAGCAATCTGCTTATTTTCAAGAGAAAATACAATTCTAAGAAATGAAAGCAGCATTTCCCTTTGGTTAAGTGACAGCTCCGGGGGACACTGCTCATGATCTGACTTTCCAAAACCAGAGGCAGCCAACCGATATCCCCAGCAGGAGCAGGGCATGAGAATCTAAATCTCTTCCCAGGTAATTATGTTAGAACAGCATTAATTTTGTTCCTGCAACATGATGTTGGGAAAACAAACGAGATGACAAATTGCACACATCAGCTGGGGAGGAGGCATCCTGAGGATCTGGAGCTCAGTCAACAGCTCTCTCTCTCTTAATAGAACTGTTTCTAACACAGAGAATTAATTCAGGGGTGAGTAGCAGCAAAGGAATTTTACGATGTCTTAAACCAAAGTATAATGCTACAAAATAGGACCGGTGGCAGATCACCCCCGGTTCCCCATCGTGTGCTTGTCTACCAATGCCCACTATCCCCTTTGAGGAAGCGACAAAAACATATTGAGTTATCGGTTCCATTTTTAAATGAGTCAGTTTATTATTGGTGATGTCATCTTAATCTCAGCCCGTGTGTTTATAGGACTGTGCTGTAGAAGTATTAAATCAAAGCTGTCACAAGGGATCAGATGGTGTCACATGAGGTGACATATTAATTTGCAGCTATCCACACTGTCGTAACTTGGGAGTTCAAACATCATTAGTCTTCCTTTCATTCTTCAGAAAAAAAAATCCACCAAAAAACACTTCCAGACAAGTCTTTATATTTTAAGTTGAACGGCTAAATAACATGTGCTTGATGGCATCCTTTGAAATGTATTCCATTTTTATTAATTCCCCCAAATGTTCATGTTTGATAACTCAAGGAAATCAAAACACTAATAATCTTGAGCTTTTTCCTTAGATCACTGAAAGCTTTGCTGTGTTTATCAATAAACAGACTTTTGTTTATCTTCTTCCTCAAATCAGAACATCGTCTAACACACTTCAATCTGGAAGCGCTGTGTGTCCGGAGCCTCTTCATCTTCCCTTGCTCAGAGCACTCGGTCCACCCCTCCCGCTTCAGCCTCCTTCCAAGTCCCTGCCAAGGGCAGGGCAGCAAGCAGATGGAGATGCAGCTGATGCTGGGCTGTGAATGTGCAGGTAACTAGGCTTTCAGGGCAAGCCCAAGGTATGAAAGGCCAGGGACTTGGAAATGAATGACTAATTAATTACCTGGACAAACTAGCAGCACCAGAAGACATTGGCTATTAGGTAGCCAGCGCTCTTTCTCAGCTCTGCTTTGATCACTAGTCTACGTGCGCACACATGCACACACACACACACACACACAGAGTCATGCGCTCACACATACACTCATGAAGCTCTCTTATACTCAGGGTTGCCCCGTATCATATGACTGTCCTAGAAGCATTGGAGTCCATGCTCGTCCTAATAACACACCCTTAACTTGATAACCCAATGGAGAGGATGATCCAGAGTGCAGGAAACCCACACAAAATCCATTTTCCAAACAGAAAATAGATTTTATTTTAGTGGCCAAGTGCCCAGCTTAAGGCCTACGCTTCCTCAGTGTCCTAATGGCCAGCAAATGAATGAACCTAAGTCCAAGCTGCTGGGTACGGTGATCAAAAATGGTTAATTTAAGAGTGGACACACTGTGTGGCCTGCAGACCACAGCAACTGGAGGAAAACTCTACCCACCCACTTTGTCCTGCCGGCTCTTGTGGCCAACAGGAGCCAACCCAACATAAAGCCAGTGGTTAACCTCAAGCATGAATCTTGTAACAATCAGGAGTGGGCTATAAAGCTGTATGACAGCATCCATAAAGGTTAGAGAGTGTGAGATATTATTTTTCTTCTGAGCACACTTATTAAAGATTAGCAGCATATACACTAAGAATAGGTTTTTATAGGTTCACCTGGCAGTGAAGGACCCCACACATGACTTTTAGGTACAGATGCCCAGGAATCATCCCTTATTTTTTATCTCACTTTTGTGGAAACATGTACTCATATGTTTATTTATTACAGGGTTCTTTGTTTTAAATCGGAGAAAATAGCAATGAAGTTTGCAGTCCCAGTACTGTCTTACTTAACCCTCAGCCCCTAGAAAAGGAATATTCCTTACCTAATTATCATTTCAGGCCAAGCATTGGTTATTTTCTTCCCAAATAAAAATATTTCAACTTTATATATATGTATAGAGTCCACCAAAAAATATTTACACACTTCAGGAAAAGAAAAACTTCTATAAATATTGTAATGCTAAATTTATTGAGACACCATGAGATTATAACAAGTTATCTTTGGCCTCTATAATTACAAGAGGTGCTCAAAGTGACGGCCGTTAGCTTCCAGGCATTTGCTATTTTTCTTTACCTGAAGCGTGTACAGATTTTTGGGCAGACTCTCTCTATATAATTATTTACCAAATCTCTCCTTGAGAATTTTAACCTTTATAAGACTGAATAAGTGGAAAAGAAAAATATTTATCAACATAAATGACCAAATTACTCTCTATAAAAAGTATAGTCAACAACAAATTAAAGGAAATTAGAAAATCACTCAGGCAACTCTAAAAAAGTTACAACAGGACATAAAAATGTTCATAGAAATTGATAACAAAATCATTAAGCTTCCAAAAAGTAAATGGAAAAAAAGCATGAAGAGATAATTATTCTGAGAGAAACCAAAAAGATTCATGACCACAGGAAAACAAAATCTTTATTCTCTCATTAACCCAAATGAAAAGTAGCACAGCAATCCTCTGTCACATTCTGCCATGGACAGAGGTCTTTACTTAAGTGTGGTGCTTGGTGTTGCCGGAAGTCTGACTCGGGCTGGAAGGTTGTACTGGGACACCCTTTGCAGAAGGCACTTTGTATGCAAGAAGGTCATTCCTGTTCTTGCCTGGGTCTCCACCCTGCCATCAGATTCTCATCCTTACCAGCATTACCACAGTGAGGCAGGGGACAAAGAGAGCAAAATGTTTTAGGCAAAATGTCTGCAAATAGCTATATGTTTGACCTACTGGTTACAGTTTTTGAACATACCTCTCAGTGTCTCAGGGCCCTCCCCTCCTATTGAATGTCAGAAGCTAACTGACTGGCTCAAACTGTCCCCTAAGCATCTCTAGTTATAATACTGCATCATGCTGTGGATTTGACAGGAAACACTTAAACAAAGGAAGCTCAACCTACCGGTCTTTAATGTGCTGAGGGGAGCCGAGACACCGGAAGCTGCCATCCACCATGATGGCCAGTCTGGTGCAGAGCGCCTCACACTCTTCCATGCTGGGAGGAGAGGGAAGAAACAGGAAGTGAACCACAGCCAAAGGGTGGTAGATTGGACGCAAGCTTGAAAAATTAAAAGTAGCTAAAAATACCATCAGGGCATACTGTGTGGGTTTTTAATATAAAAACTCCATGAAAGCCGAATAAAATGCTTCCAAAACTCATAAAATTTATGTTAAGTGTCTCTAGACATCCCCCAAAGCCTCATGCAGTCATAGATGGGGCTTTCTCAGAGGTGGCAGGATCTAGGGTGTGCACGCTGGGATTAAGGGTGTGTGATTACTCAGTCAGTCTTCTGATCGGTTTGGCATCACCCCAATCTCGGTACCCTGGATGCAGTATAAAAGGGAGAGAAAGACACTGTTCAGGCCCCTTGCTCGCTTGCTTCTCCGCCCGCCGGCCATGTCACCCAGCCTTGCAGCCAGCCAGCTGTGGACTGAGACCTCTACACAGTGTGAGCGAGGTAAACCTTTCCTCCTTTGTTGGTTATTTTGTCTCAGCAACAAGAAAAGTAAAGCATTGTCCAATTAAACAGTTAAAAACTTATTAACATTTCCATGCACCCGGAAGGCTAGTAATAAAATATGTAGGTGAGAAGCATTTAGTAACAGGACAAAAAATACAACATAAGAAAGAGCTTAGCAAAAACAGTGAATATTTTATCACAAAAGTAATAAAACTTTACTAACAGACATAAGGAAAAACCTGAATCAATCAGAGAGAAAAAAAGAAAAATTGTGAATATTTTAAAAATAGGAAAACATAATATGAAATTAGTGTAATATAAAACAATATAGCATACTATTATTATAAATATAAAATATAATATTAGCATAAGTAAGAAAATAGTGTATGAGTAAATTCATATGTAAAATATGTTATATTTTAATAAGTATATAATATATAAAATAGATTGCTATAAATAACATTTTAATTTCTAATTATAATTCAAATTATATCTTAAATATCATTTTAATGTAGAATATGTTATAAAGGCTTACACTTTATGATATTATTCTAATAATATGAGTCCTAAGCTATAATAATACAAGCATGGCATAATACCCATACAAATTTTATGACTCCCCATGAGAAAAACTGAAAATAACTATAAAGCATGTCTGCAAAATTATTTAGTGAGAGGAAGGAAAATATGGAGAGTCACGAGGGAAAAGCGCCCTAGCACACATTAACATTTAGTACACCACTAAAATAATTCAAAAGAGGCGGTACACTAGACAGTCACACGGCCAAGGCACTGGAGCAAACGACAAAGTGAGTAGCTAATGTCTTAAAAATTTAAGAGACTTCATGGTGGGAAAATACTTTCTAAGAAACCCGGAAGGACATATTTGATACATCTGCAATGCAAAACTCTAAACTCCTAACAAGGGTGTTAAAACACAACAAGCTAATATTTAAAATATTACAACAAACAGAGGCCAGGGCTGCTGTTTAGCATTGGAGCACTTGTGTTACATTTACAAAGCTCTGCCTTCAACCCCCAGGGATAAAAAGAAAAACAGAATTTAAAAGATAACAAAACCTACAGGGTAGAGGCCAATACCCTTCATATACTCACCCTATAAAAGCCACCTATGTTAATTTATAAATAAAACAGTATAAATCTAAGAAACAAAAGGGGCAAATAACAGGTAGGAGAGAGTCAAAGACCTATTTATAACTAAAAAAATTATAAGCTTAATTATAAATCAATAGATCTTAAAACTTTTTTAACTAGAAAGACTTTGATCATATGTGTTTTCTTTGGGGGAAAAAAAAATGTTTTCCCCTACACACACCATTTCAAATAAAAACTATGAGATCTAAGACCAATAAAATACTCAGAAAGTTAAAGACATTTTCTCAGTAATTGCAAGTAGGTCATCTCCTCTGCCGATGGTGGAGAATCTATGGCACGCGTGCCGCAGCAGGCATGCAGGGCCCTCCCTGTTGGCACACAAGCCAAGTTGTCCCAGCCAAGGTTTGACAAACAATCAGCATGCACACAATAGCAAAGATCACATCAGCTGTGCAAAAGCACACCAAATGCAAACTTTTACCTTTCAATAAAACTCTGTACCATTGAAAACTCTGTTATTGTGTTTTTCTTTTAAGACAAAAGATGTTAATGTGTGAGTTGTCTTTTCCCAACTAAAACCTCAGTATTCAGGTTTAATTGCAGTGTTGGCCTTGTGTGATACATAAGTGTGTTTGGGTTACAGTTTGGGCAGTCAGTCTCTAAAAGCTTTGCCATCACTGGAGTGTTCCTACGCCAGGAGTAAAAATTGGCAGAACTTTTGGAAAATCAGTTTGGCAAAAGTTCCCCGTCTAGGAACTTGTCCTAGGAAACACAAACTATGAGTGTATAAAACTTATTTATAATAATAAAAATGTGGGGGTGGTAAATATTCCACAGCAGGGTAGGATGAAACTTACAGATGCAAAGGTACCTCCCCTGTGTGAGCATTCCCAGATGTTCTCTAACATGCACCCACGGCGTGCAGGGATGCTCCTACTACTGCAACAGCAAAATGATACTGTGCATTAGGAAAGCTGCATGTGGGTGCGTGAAAATCTCTCTAGGAAATATGCATCAACATCAATATCTGAAAAGTGAAAATACTTGTGGATTTTCTTCTCATTCACCATTTTGTGTTATTGGAATTCTCAGCAGGAAGCGTGGGTTCTGTCTATCGTTGGGTCACAGTCACGATGTGGTCTCAGGTCAAGATTTTACCTCTCAGCCTTCCTTGTGGCTAGAAGTGGGCATGCAATGAGTAGCATCAACAGAATGCACAATTCTGGGTCATCTTCAAAGAAGGAGCCCAGCTGACCTGGCTTTCCTTGAGCTGCAGTGCAGACACGGCACAGAGCCTGCAGGTTACCCTTCACCATGACAATGTAGACAACTTCCAGGTAGGAAGTGATGGAGGAAAAGGGACCTGCATCCTCAGCTGGCAGGGGGGAGCATAGCACAGCAGCATCAAGTGTTAAGTGAGTCACAAATGTCTTGCCCGAGACACTATCATCTGAGCTTTCTCTGCTAGAGTTTAACATGAAGTCTAAGGAACATATGCTATCAACATTCCAAGGATGCTTCCTATTTTTCTAGGCAAATATATACTTCCTACATTGCTTTAATTTCAGCTGAAAGCAGTTTTAGCATTTTTATAGTTGTATGGCAGATAGACTAGGAAGTCACTTCTGTATTATCCCCTGAAAATGTAAGTTTTACTTGTAGTTTGACAAGTGGAGGTCAAAATACCAATCAGTACGAGTTAAGACCTGGGCGTGAATGACTTAGTGATTCCAACTGAGCTGTAATTAACTGTCCAACAAACATGCTGTGAGAGTAGGGACATCGTAAAATCCCAGCCCAGACTGGAGAGGCAGAAGTTATGATGATCTGTAGGGAGAAGGGAGTACAAAGCCAGACAATGCTCAACCATGAAAACAATCGCTGGTCTTTTAAATAAATAAATCATTGGTCAAAAAACAAATAAATAACAAATTTCTTCCATGGATAGTCAGCTCCATTAGCATGGAAATAGGGTTAGGCGATGCAGAGATTCAGGGACTGCTGCTGGAATTCATGACTCAGTGGCTGATACAGGAGGAAGAGGTCTTCTGGGCTGAACCAGCATCCAGTCCTTTCACTACGCAATGTGTGCACAAAATCCCTACCTCAGGCTCCCAGCCCACGTTTTCCCAAGATGCTCTGGGGCAGTAAGAGCTGAACTCAAAGTTAAGGGGAAATGCCCCAACCTAGAAGTCTCTTCTCACTAAAGAATCATTTTAGAATCACAGAACCAGTCACAGGCTTCCTGAGTCTTCATTTACAGTGAGTAATTTGGATCCTTGTATTACTTGAATAGTGACAGATTTATGGAAATAAATTTGTATACATTCATATGTATATCATTTATGTGAAATCAAATGAATAGGAGGATATAAAAGAGAAACTGCAGTTATATAGGTTCTTTCTGAGAACAGTTGATGATAATTATATGTTATTTGAGAAATAAAAAGTTTTACAGTGGGACCACTTCCCAACCACAGGTCCTGTGTTGGACACCAAGACTGGCGTCCTCATGCCAGGAAACAAATGCCAATGAATTGAGCGCAAGGACAAGGAAAGTGCCCAGAACTGGCACACACAATGGGCACCATCAGCAAGCATGGACACACATTACCAAAAAGTACAGGATTTGCCAAATTTAGTTATTTCAATGTAACATTTTACCTTCCAAAGAGAAACAGAACGAAAACAAAATATTAGAGATAGGACAACTTCTGCTTAGGTCCAAGTGAAGAAACCAGCAAATCCTCTCCCCGAAGAGTAACTATAAAACTTGAAAAAAATAACAAAACAGCCTCTGAAGAACACCAGAAACTGACCAAGGCATGTAGCTGTGTGAAAAGATGCTAAATTTAGGAGAAACGGGGCAACTGACAGCACACAGGGCATAGGCTACTGTCTTTCCTGCCCAGTGTCATCAACATGCCACTCTTGGCTGGAAGGGGCAGGCCCTGAGGATGATCAGCTCCTGTCATAGCTGAGGCAGGGCCCTCGATCTGGAGCCCTGGGCAATGCCCTGCCCAGTGACACCACTGGGGAACAGGACCATTCTCAGAGCAAAGAAGCAGAAGGGCCAACATCTCCAGGACCCACAACGCTGACCGCTATCAGACTGAAATTGTGTGACTGCGTCCTGCACATAGCCCGCCAAGCCCACACACATATGCAGCATTGATGTCACACACTACTTGTCGGGGGCTATCCACACACACCTAGGAAAGTCAGAGGGAACCCGGGATAACTGTGCCAGCTTGAAAATAGCCCGGAGGTATGATTTCCTCTGCTGTCAGCACAGAGGCCCGTTGGCAGAGGATGGAAGGAGCTATGCAGAAGCAGAGGTGACTGCGATGTAGCAAGCCCTAAAAAAGTGGAAACCGTGTGACCCAACCAGAGGCCTCAGGACCCCCTCACCACAGGAGAAATGTTTTTGCAGACTTTTCCCAGAAAAAGAATTCAAACATAAAATTGACAGAGTTTGGAAATGAACCCCAAACCAAAGAAAAACCTGGCAAGAGCAGTAACTTTGGGGAAAGGGAGTTCAGAAGCCAGAGACACTGATTCTCTCAAATGTCCGCCTCCAACTGAAAAATGGTAAGGACGGGATGCAGAGAAACACGAAAGCAGTCTATAGTCACCAGGGAAAATCATCAATAGGCATTGTCTCTAAGCACTCCCCAGTACTGGATTTAGCAGAAAAGATTTAACATACAGTCAGTGCGGCTCTTATAAATACATCCAAAGAACCAAAGGAAACCATACGTAAATAATTAAGGGGGAGTCGACAACTTCCAACAAATAGAAATTCTAAAGAAGGAGGTGAACGTTATAAAAGAAAAGGAGCAAATAGAGAACTTCTCATTGAAAAGCACAACAAGCAAAATGAAAAACATACTAAAGCAATCAACATCAGAAGAAGACGGCTGGAGGAAGATAATAGAAAGCGTGCAGAAAGATCGTGAAAATTAGACAGCCTTGGAAGAGATCCAGTAAGATTGAAAAGAAAGGAGCAGGAACTCACAGAGCTGGAGGTATGATCAGAGGTCCAACAATTCTTGTAATGAAACCACCAAAGGAAGAGGGATGATGGAAAGAGCTGAAAAAACATTTGAACAAACAACAGCAATTTTTTACATAAATAAATGATCTCCAGAATGGCCATTTTGTTGGTCACACCATAAGACTATAGATTGGCTGGGCGTGGTGACTCACACCTGTAATCCCAGCACTCGGGAGGCTGAGGTAGGAGCACTGTTGCAAGTTCAAGACCAGCCTGGGCTACAAAGTGAGCTCAAGGCCAGCCTGAACTGCATAGTGAGACCCTGTACCAACAGGACCAAAAAAAAAAAAAAAAAAGACTCTATAGATAACGATTTTCTTATATTTTCTCGTACCTTCTTTAAGATTTAATATTATAAAAACCGATAATAATAATCTGTAATTGTTGTAGAACATATAAAATGCAATACATCTGAAATACTGGCCCAAAGAAAAGGAGGACAGAACAATGCCAAGGCAAAGTTACATTTCACTGGAAAGAAGTTGGGGGAGTACGATGAATTAAGGTGCAAACTGTGGTTCCCAGGCCAACCATTAAGAAAATGGACCGATGACTCGTCCCTAAGATGTGAAAAAATGTTACCTTTAGAATTATTTATTTAATATAGAAAGGCAGTTAAATAGGAACGGGGATACAAAAAGCACAGGAGCCATATAAAAACTAACAGCAAAACGGCAAATATAAATTCAATCACATTTATAGTTGCATTAAACGCAGAATTATCCAATTGTCTCATTCCAAAGGCAGAGACTAACAAAGGAGGGGGAACTCAGCCAGATCCAACTACTGTATACTGTACCCGGGACGTTCCTTCTATTCACACACACAAAGCCTGTCAAAGTAGTAAGACGTAAATGCCATACCAACAGGAGCCAAAAGACACATCAGCGCTGACAACCTCAGACAAAATAAGACTTTAAATTAAACAGTACCAACTGAGGCCAAGAAGAATGTGGCCTAAGGATAGGACCAAAATATCTGCAGATCACAGTCAAGGATGTGTATTCCCCTAACTGCCCAGCTTCAAGTACAGGGAGCCAAAGGTGACAATAAATTCAGAAGAAAAGGTCACCATACCACTTGAAGAGTTCACTCTCTCCCTTTCCGCACTGGAGCGAAGCCTTCAGCAGAGCACCCAAAAGAATACGGAATGCTTAACACTGTCAACGCAACGTACCACCTATGCTGTGTTCTGCACACGGCCAGCATGGCACGCACTGCCTTCTACCACAGGGACACCCGAGGATGTGTCACATGTTCGACACACCATTCTTGGTAAGTTGCTAAGTTACCCTGGGTAGGCTTGAGCTTGCAATCCTCCTGCTTCAGCCTCTCAGAGTGCTGGGATTACATACCTATTCCACCACCCCTGGCTTGGGGTTTTGAATGGAGGAAACTGTGGCAAAGTATCAGATCCTTGGCATTTCTTAAGACTTTTCTTACCACCTAACTTATTTAAGCAGGGCAAGGAACCATGTCTGAAGTTCAAAGCCTGACCGCCCAGCACCTTCAGGATTCCCAGTTCTCAGTGCCTGGACTCTGACTCTCTGAAATCGACATTTGTATCGCTGTGTGGCCTGGAACTCTGTGTCACAGCGTTAAAAACAAGCCCGAGGTTGAGAATTCTAATTACATGATTAACTCTGTATGGAGGAAAGCGTTAGGCCGGACTGAGGAGTGTCTTAGAGCTCCTCTCGGACTTTGCGGCCCGCCAAGAGAGAAGCTGGAGGACCCCGGGGGACACCAGGCCAGCAGGGTGTGGTCTCTGGACACAGGCTCTGCCCCTGCTGATGGGACCTTGGCCGTCACAGAACTGCTCTCTGCTTTGCTGTCCACATCTGAGGCTGCGGAACCAGACACTACACGTGTGATTGAAAGCTACAGTGGGTATTTAAAATTGAAAACATTCATCACAGTAAAAGTCTCGCTGCCATGAATCCCCCTCAGTCCTCCCCTTCACTTCCAACACGCTCACCCCACAACCCTGGCCAATTTCTGAAGCAGCTCTGGGGTCCTCTTTTGTGGGGGTCTTTAGTTGCACTGTCCTGGCTGCCTCAATGTCCTGAATGGGCTAAAGGATTTCCCTTTCCAGGTCATTTTGAACTGGAAAAGAGCCAGAAGTTGCATGCCTCCAGGTCCAGGGAATGAGGTGGTTGAAGACTCAGTGTCGTGTTTTTATGAGCCTGCGTTTGCGCTGGATGGCGCTCAACAGCAACCTTCCCCGTATTTTTTATCACAAGGTGTAAAGACACTCAGGAAAGAGGACTCCTCAGATGCTGCAGAAACTGGCAAGGACAGTGGGATGAGGTGACTGAGGGAGGTGGAGGATTTTAAGGGGAATTAACAGCAATGCGTCTTTTAGCGTAATAAACACTTTTCAGTTCAAGCACGCAGCCTGTATTTTGCTCACCCCTGTGCCTGCAGATGAACGAGCGGCTGAGGAGCGCGGTGGCTGGCCCTGGACTCACCCATATCCGCTGACCGCTACTCGGCCCTGCTCAGGACACGGCCAGCAAGGGGTGCAGCTCACCTGTGTGAGGTGAGCACCGCGGCGCAGCCCTGCCTGACCTCCTGCTGTATCGTCTGCCACAGGTAGCGCTTGGAGCAGGGGTCCATTCCGGAGCTGGGCTCGTCCTGGAGGAGAGACACACGGCGAAGGGTTGGTAAACACACGTGGAAATGCACACTCCGCCTGGGCAGCCCAGCGGGACTGAAAGGAAGTCCCTGCTCTGGCTCCCCTGGGCGCCTCTCCAGTACTTCACAAAGTCAAGGTGACTGGTGAGTCGCGAGTGGGGGCGTGGCTCCCCCTTCCTCCTTCAGAATGCCTCTTCCTGCTCACCTCCTGGACTGTCCGGAGACCAGCACTGCTGGGAAGTGGGAGAGGAGGATGGGGGAGCTGGGGGCCAGGGTCACAGGGCCTCGGCATGGGGATTGTTATGGTTGCTACACCGTGCCAACTTGAGGCATCTAGAAGCTTAACTAAGTAATTCATCCATCCTACATCATGGTATGAAAAGGACATGCCCTTCCTGTACTAGGATGTTGTTCATGGTATCAATTTGAGCAATTTAGAAGGTTAACTGCGTGACTCGGCAGGGAGCCAGGCTCCTTACTTTGTATTCATCCTGCGCCTGTGCAAGAGGGCGTGAGATGATGTGAGCATGGGCGGCGAAAAGCATACAGTATAAGGAGGGAAAAGACGCTTGCTTTGTCCCCTTCTTGCTCTCACTGCTTTCGCTGTCTTGTGCCGCCCTGAAGTGTTGCCCCTGTGCCATGCCAACCCGCCTTGGAGCCAGCTGATTATGGACTGAAACCTCCACAAACTGTGAGCTAAATAAACCTTGCCTTAATTTTGTCTCAGCAATGAGCAAAAAGTAACCAAGACAGGGACCAGCAGACAGCCTGCTCCTGAGGCAGTGCATGACCTCCCCACAGACCCTTCATGTTAGGCTTGCAGCTGCCTTGATTCCCCCAGAAGCACCCCTAAGACATGGGGAAAGGGCAAGTGACTCCCCCAAAAGCAAGCAGCACAACTGCAAAACTGGAGGCAGGCACACAGTATAAGCCCCAGGGTGTCACACCAGGAAAAACAAACGGGAGCTCTCACACCTGGCCTCCTCCTGGGCCTAATCTCACTCATGGCCCTCCCCGCCGCCCAAGTGCCGCTGAGAGGTGCGGCACGTGTGTATCTACAGAATAGGTCTGAGAGAGCCCCAGCCCTGCACCCGGCCGGCTGGTGAGGGGATTCTCTCAGGAGAGACTAGGAAAGGGGACACTTCTGCAAACGTGAAGACAGCAAGGTGAGACGTCACGGAACATGAAAACAGTAACATGCAAAGAAGCAGGACGCCACCCATGGAACACAGCCATGTTCAAACAACTGGTCTCAGCAGAACAGAGAGCTAGGAACTGCCTGACACAGAATTTGAAGTCTCATTTTAAGAAGGCTCAGGGAGCTCTATGTAAATATGAGTAGAGAATGATGGGAAATCAGAAAAACAATGCATGAGCAAAGAGAGAAGTTGGAAAAAGACAGCAACAAGAAAGGCTCAAACAGAGAAAGAAATCCTCTGAGGGGAACCAAGGAAAACCTCTGGAGCAAAAAGGCAAGGCACAAAGCAAAAATGCAGTGGTGCCTATGCAGACATATTTGAAAGAATGAAAGAATCTGTCTGAAGACTATAGTCAATGAAGTGAATTGACTAATAGTCAACTTGTAACACCCAGCTGAACAGAGTCAGCCTGGCCCTGGATGTGGCAGGCCTATCTGAGGATTATCGCCAACAACATAAAAGCAGAACTGGAGGGGAAGATGGTGCTATTGATTCTTCTGGAGAAGCTTGTCACACTGGTTTTCCTGATATGAACTCAGCTGTTTTCATCGCTAGAGGAGCTCAAATCCTCACTGTCACTGAGGACGGCCGCAGTTCTCCTCAGAGGAGCTCTGTTCCTTACTTTGAGCATCACTTCCTGGCTCCAGTGCAGATCCCTCAGCCTGCTGGCACAGATCCTTCATCCCACTGGCACAGACTTTCTAGCTTGCACTTTGGGCCTTCCCAGCACAGATCCTTGAAACAGACTTGCGTGAGACATTGCTGTGGGCTCTAGGCCTCCAGCTGGACTTGCAGAGGATGTTGCCACAGGCTCTAGGTCTTCAGCTGGACTCATGCAGGACATTGCCGTGGGATCCAGGCCCTCAGCTGGATGCTTCAGGGCTCTAGTGTAATCAGATCACTTTACTCTCTGCATTTGACTTTTTTGGGTGAATATTATAAAATACCCCTATAAATTATATGTCCTGTATTAACTCTAATCCCTTGCAAACCCCGACTACAACAGTTAAGAACTCAGTGGCATGCATTTGAAACTTCCTGAGAAAACAGGTCCCGGATGTTCTCACCATATACTGGAAAAAAGAAATGGCCATTAAGGGAAGTGCATGATATGTTAATTAGACTGACTATGGTAATCATTTTAGAGTAAATACATTGATTAGAACACCACACTGTGTATATTGAATTATGCAATTTGTATTGGTCAATTATGTCTCAATAAAACTAGGGCTGGAGGTTTTCACCTCAGCTTGGCTCCCCGTTGAGATGTGGTTAGGTAACCCAACCTTGATGTTTTCAAGATCATCCCTCAGCCTCAGAATGATAGCCCTAGAAAAAGGAACCGTAGTGGAAAAGGGTTTCATTTATTTAGTGACATCAAATAAACTGAAATTTCATGGAACCTGTAGCTTTCTCCTTCAATAAACTCCAAAGCACTTGTTATCTGCAGCCCTTCAGAGAGGAACTTGTATGAAGCATTTCCAAGCTTTTTGCAGCCAAGGAGCACTAAGCACATTTTTCTTAAGAGCTTCAGGTCATCAGCTTCTCCCCAAAGGTACAAACAGAAGGCAAGGAGAGTGGAGAGAGGCACTGGGCAGGAAAATAGACACTTGGTCGTTTCTGCAAATCAAGCCATGGGCGTGTGCTACTCGTGAAGTAAAGAAATGAAAGGTGTGATGGTGCACTGCCCAGGAGCAGGGCTGCGTGTTATTTTAAGTTTCCCTGAGTCTCCCTGTGGTGCCAGCTCTGAGAGCTGCTTCCCATCGCTCTATGGAAAACATCAAAGGCACTGCTTCATCCTGGTGCTCTGGACAGTCAGCATCTCCAGGGTCACTAAATGCTTTTCCTGTGGTTATTATGCACAAGGCCTGGGCTGCATGCTGAAAGGGGATTTTTCCACTTACTGTTTTCAGTGGTCCCATGAGACAGACATGACAATAGGGACCATTTTCAGGTAGAAGGGAGAAAAGTGCAGATTGTGAGGTCACTGCTGCAGAATCCGCACCCCATTGCTCAGACTCCAGGGTCCCCATGTGGCCACTACTCCAGAGCTCTGGCATCCACGGGAAAAGCGCAAGCATGTGTGAGAGAAGATAACATAAGGCCTGCTGGGAGATAAGGGCTGACTCCAGACCCGAAGGCCCTCACCAACTGTGCCAGGCTGAGGGACACTGTACAGCAGTCACTGAAGCCCACGTCTTAGCAACTCTCCAGCGCAGCCTGCCTGGCCTGGGGGGACAATGGTGTGTGCAAACTACACAACAGTGCAAATGCTGGTTTGTGTTATCAGATTTCTTTATTTGGGATTTATCAGATAGTCCTTTATTTGGGATTTTGCAATAGCAAACTTGGAGCAAGTAAAAGGCATATTCAGGTGCATTTCTGATACACAACCAGGAAACAGCTGGACTATTTTTCCTAACTCAGGTCTTCAGAAATCCCATGAACAAGAACAGAAAATGATGCTTCTGCTGTGTTTCCTGTGCTTCTTGACACACCGTAGGGTGCCCAGCAGAGTGAAGCCCCGGGATGCAATGTCTTGATTAAAATCCAGTCTGCTTCTTGCTTCAGTGGTGTGCTGCAGAGTGAGATCCATTTCTAAAGTGCAAGGCAGCTGGCTCTATTTCCTGATGCTCTTCGCTCCAGTTACTGCTTCCATCCCACTAACCTGGCCTGGCTGTACTTTCAGGTGGACTGTAGGCTGCGGCCCCTGCCCCTGGCTGCTGCTCAGCCTCTGCCCTGTTGCTAGAACCCTCTTCCCTCCCCTCCACATCCAAGTGGCAGCCAGCTTTACACTGCTGTAACAAATAACTGGGGGAACCAATCTATAAAGAGGAAATACTCATTCTGGCTCCAGTTTTGGAGCTTCCAGTCCATGATTGGTTGGCTCTGTAGATTTGCATCTATGACCAACCACTCATCATGGCTGGAGCGAGCAATGGAGCAAAACTGCTTACCTCATGGCCAGGAAGTGAAAAAGAGGAAGAGGAAGTGGCCCACACTTTACAATCCCCCTTACAAGCACACGTTCATGACCCAAAGACATTCCACTAGGACCTACATCCTCAAGGTTCCAACACCTGCCATTAGCACAATAGCTGGGGACCAAGACTTTACGGGGGGTATCCAAACTATCAGGACCTCTGACACCCATCCTCCTGATTTAGCACAGACCTGTATCACTCTCACTACTATATAAACATAGATCTGCAGGTAGAAAAAGACTTGAAAGCAATATGCTAGAAGAAAAACATACATTGGTTTTCAGGTTAGAGGTGAATTCTAGTAGTTTTTTAATGCAGTTTTAATATTAAAATTTAACTGACTATTTAATTTGACAAACATAAAATAAATGTCTTGTTTCTACACAATCTCAGTGATATTTTATATTCTGTTTAGGAAATACTGACTTAGGGCAGAAAGAAGCTCAACAGCTTGTAGAGTCAATGTTGTAAGTTCTGGAGTTACTTCCTGGAACAACTGTGATAGACTAAAGTAAGATTACAAGTCCACATGTTGCATGGATCTCATTTCATGACATGGTCATGTTCACGATGTTTCCACTACTCACCAATAATAGGATGTCAGGTTTGCCCACCAGGGCCAGGGCTGTGGAGAGCTTCCTCTTGGTCCCCCCACTGTAGGTGGCCACACGTTTGTCTGCATGGGCTTCGAGGTGTAAGCACCTCACAAGGTCTGCAGCCACCTGGACAAGAACAGACCACCATGAGCAGACCACCAGATGCCAGGTCTAAGCCCTGGCTAGTGCTCCTTCCTTGCACCGTCCATACCCTGCCCCGACACACAGCCAGTCAAGAGCAGCTCCTGATCCCTCCCCTTCCCAGTGATGGAAGAAACTGAGAATGAACAGAGAGGAGGTCTTGTCCCTGTAGACATCAGCCTGATGGCCCGACACAAACTGTAACTGAGAGGGCAAGTGAGCAAGAAACAGAATCCAGACTGGGTCTGAACACACACCCACACTAAGGTGAGCAGACACAAGGGGAGGTCTTAGGCAGGAAATAAAGCATGACAGTGAGGTGTCAAGACCCCCACGAAAGAGAGGGCTGAGGCAGGAAATTCTTAGCGTTGTCACAAGGACTGAAAGGTCTGTTTTATAGCAAGAAGCCACAGACTAGAGTTTGCGCTCTCAGAATTTAGATTAGGAGCTGACTGAGGGTGGGGAGGGATGGGGAAATGTTTGCTGCTCACAGCTCCTAGGAAGTGTTTCCTGGAGTGCTGAACAGGAGCATCACACACCCCAGCTGTTGCCATCGCCGCAGGGGAACTCTGATGCCCTGGCCCTGAGCTCACAGCTTTCCTTGTGCTGTCCCTCCTCACCGACCCAGCTCACCCCAGGACTCATCTCTGCCGCCAGCCCCTCTGCAGGGTATTGGCTGTGTCTCTCTAACCCTTGAATCAGCATTCCCCACTGTAATTTGTGCCGCACTCCGTCTGCTCCCAGTTCTGTTTCCTGTTCTCTAACCCAAGCAGAGCAATTTCTTTGTTCCCAACTTTGCATAATTTAAAACTTGCATGGTTTTACTTAGCTCTTGTGAGCACAGAGGTATTCATATCGACTCACTTTTCTAGATACTATCATCCAAACAAACCAGCCAAGGTCAGACCTTACTCCAAATTTAGGACCAGAAGGAAAACTTCTATACAATTATGAACCCAAGTTAATCGTTCTGGGTCTGAAATACCTAAATGAAGCTGAGTTTTAAACTACTCATGCTTTTTGATAAAAGTATAACACTTGGGACGGTGACTAAATGATGATGAAATGCTACAAACTCTAAAGATATGAGGGTGACAGCATGAGGGTAATAGTGTGCTTCCTATTTAGAGCTTTCAAGATAAATTGCTTATGTGGCCTGAACATAATTTAGAAAATACTTATAATTACTTATGTAGCCTGAACATAATTTAGAAAATGAACAGTAGACCTTAAATGCTATGCTTGTGGTCTCATAGTGTAAGTGAAAGACTAACAGACTTCAAGGTCCAAGAGAGTCTCGAACCTCCCACCACCTGCCTAGGAAAGTCCTCTCAAGGCTCAATACCTGTTCTTATTGGAAGCAGTCATTTTCCCCAATTTGCTTATGTATGAAACATCCTTCTTCCTGGCTCTATTAAGTCCAATGATCTCAATTAACAGAAACTGAATGAAAATGTATTTAATTACATAAAAATATTCACACAAAATATTTTACTCAAAACAAGCAAATAAACGCAAATGTTAATGGAGTGTTATATGAGCGAGAAGATACAACACCCAGTATTATAAGAATTAGAGGGATGACACAGGTGCTAATGGAGATTGATTCACCCAAATTTTCCTGAGAGATGAACTACAAAAAACTGTAAGACTCATCTTGGGTGAGCCATTACACATAAAAGGAAGGACGGGAACCACGGAGAAATTGGTGCTGATTTTTAGATCCACAAAAATTACCAAGAGGGCTGAGAATGTAGCTCAGTGGCATAGCACCTGCCTAGCATGCACAAGGCTCTGCGCTCCACCCCCAGTACCCAAGAAGGAACCAGGAAACCACTTCCCAAGGAAAGAAAAATGGGAAGTATGTGTATTAGGAACTTGTGTTCTTATACACAATTCAAAGATTAGCCGTAATGGAAAGCTAGCAAAGAGACAAAGGCAAAAGCACCTAGCTCTCTAGAAAAGCACCCCAGAAAAGCAAGTAAAGTTTTAAGTCAATCTGCCCAACTACTTTTGCTTATTTTTATGAAACCAAGTGACGTATGTCATGTTTTCCTAATTTCACAGAAAAAGTTAAAGAGTGCAACCTGCACATTTTGGACCAGTTAATCATGGGGAAGATTCTCGATTATGAGGACAAATGTACCAGTTTGATCTAATGTGCTCAGAATGTCACATTTTCAGAAAATAACTGAAAATGACCTAATAAGATGTATTTTGTTGCCATCTCTGCTGCACTCAGCACTACTATCAAAATAACGGCAAATGTAATGTCCCAGCAATCAGTGCTGGCAAAATACTACCTTGCCCCCAAAATGTCCTAAGTGACAGACTCTATTATTCTCCCAGGATAACAAAGTACCATAAGTTACAGAAATCAGTTTGTTGCTTTTTCTCTGAGAAAGCTCTAAAAATTGTATCATTTTAAGGCAAGAGCTAGGGATTCTTTTGTCCTTATACTCGTATGAGGCATCATTGCATCTGGTACACAGTAGGTCTGCCAAAATAGACTGCCCGGAAGCCAGGTATACACACGCTGCATTCTGAAGCCAAAGGTTTTCTATCAGCTCATCTGATGCGCATATCAAGATTCTCTGTGAGAGTCAAATCCAAACAAGTAGTTCAGTAGGAAGAAGGAGCCCAGGGTTTCGGCTGGACACGCCTGTCTTCTGCCCTTCCCTCTGCTGACGACCTGCCTGCTCCTACTCTGTCTTCTAATTTCTAGCTCCTTCCTGCAAAAGTATACAAAGAAACTTCACCATGAAAGTCACACTTAAAGGGAAGATATTGGGAAGCAGCCCACAGCAGGAATTTTTCCTGGTAGCTGTTTGAAAATATCAGTATAAATAATACAGAGAAGGGCTCTACTTCTTCTATCCCAGGGAGGAAAAGTAGAAGTCAGCATTCAGCAGCTCTCCTCCATCCAGAAGTGTTGTTTGCTTCTCCGGATACATTAGCCCTGAAATTACCACCATCATCTCTCTTACATGCTTTCTCCAGCATGCCAGGCCCCATAGCCTCTGTCTCTTGAATATTTTGGTTACCACATGATATAAAATTCCCTACCAGGTTAATCAAATCCCGGCTCACACACGCACTGTGTACAAAACGCGGCAGCTGAATGCTTCAGGAGACCGGAAATCGTTACATCAGCCCACGTGACCCAAATGCAAGCCAAACGGTCAGGCATCTTCTTCTCTCTACCTGAGCATGTAGGAGGTGGCAGGAGTACAGGGCGCACTGCACAGAGAAACAGCCAGTAAGTGGGGCACAGAAGGCCTGCAAGCTGGAGTGAGGGTGCGGCCGGGCTTTGAGGACTGGAGAGACAGAGCGAGGGAGCTAGGAACCGAGCTGGGGACAACTTCCAGCCAGCACCAAAGGGTCTCCTCAGACCACAGGAGACACCAGCAGCTGCCAGCATTGCCATGGAAAGGAAGATGGCAGTGGGGAAGGAAAAAGCCGACACGAACACCAGATGGGTCTCAGGAAGTATCTCACGTGTCCATGCAGGCTCCGAGGGGCTGGGAGGGGTGCACCCAGGGCCCACTGGAGCCCTGTGACGGGTAAATCATGGAGACATGCTCAGGGCTAGATGAGCCATGCAATCACGCCACACAGTTTCCTCTTCCTTAGCCACTCCGGAGGCTGATGAGGGATTTCACCTTAAACCCCGGGGTCCAAACACACTGAGTGTCAGGGCAGCTTCTCACTCAAGACCTGACTTGTCTGGGGTCGACTGCAAGCCTTGCTGCGTAAGAGCCACTGAATTAGTAAGTCATTGAACCACCCAGTGCCTCAGTTTCTCTAGTTGTAAAATGAAGACTAAGCCTCTTATCTATTTCCTACATTGGCTGTAAAATGCTTGCAGCCATGCATGCTTTAAGGGTGGGTGCTTTCTGAGAATGGGGACCATCAGCCAGTTTTGTTGCATAGTCCTAGATGGCGCAGTTCAGTCCCCCCACCGGGCTCTAGATTCCATCAAAGAGGCCTGGCGAACACAAGATGCTTGCATATTTGATGCTACTGTTGTTGTCACTTGGCACACTGTCTTACAGCGAGCAGCTTTTCATAAGGGGCTACGTTCTAAAGTAAGGATTAGTACTATCTTGGTTACTTTTTCTCTCATTGCTGGGACAAAATACTTGACACCCAAAATTAAGGAAGGAAAGGTCTATTTCGCTTATAGTTTGTGGAGGTTTCAGTCCATACTTGGCAGGTTACAAGGCAGAGTGGCACATGACAGAGGGCTACAGCTCATGGCGGCAGAACACAGCAAAAGCAACAAAAACACAAAAGGGAGGAATGGCAGCAAGCAGCCTCTTCCTCTCCTTTACATATGCAAACTATCCACCCCAGGGCGGGTGTAGCTCTCACTCCCATAATCAATCAAACTCTAAAAGCCTGCCCCATGACCGCAAGAGGCTTTGGGGGGACACCCAGACACAAATCATAACAAGTACAGTGTAAATCTATAAGTCAGTGACACAGACACTTATTACCAAGTGTGGGATGCTTTTCTGTGGTTGACAGTATGAACTTGTTCACAGTAGCACTACCCCAACACACCAGTGATGAACGGAGCTAGAACGGCGTGATGGTGTCTGCGATCCCGGTGGGGAAAGTGGATTCCTTGGTTTCCTGCAGTCGTCAGGAACCACCATCCTCTACGCCGTCTGCAGCTGCCTGTGGCATCACTGCATGTGCTATACCAAGTATTCTCATTATTTATAACGATCCCTCTGGTCACCTTGTGATAAGCTCACCAGAACACACACAGCTGTTCTACATGTCAAATATTCCTACCACTTACAGGGGATGGGAATTTTCCAGGAAAGGATCTATTATTGCTTTCGGGATCAGATGGAAGAACATGCTGATCTTTGAGACACCTCAGAGAAAGCAACTAGCACTCCTGTCTGCAAAGTCCGGTGTCATTTTGTGAAAGAAAGCAAGCCACTTCCTAACTGGTGACCATTACGATAACTTCTCTGTGGAGGAGTTAGGGAGAACAAGGCCGTGCGTCCGGGGCACCGAGCCCTACCACGCTGAGACGACAGAAGGACCCGCTCACCGCGTTTGCCCAGCATCCCCCTCTTCAGTCAAAACCTACCAAGGGCCAACTGACTGGCAAAACGTCCATTAAAGACAGAGCCAACAATGAGCGTGGATCCCGGGAGCTGAGGAGCTGCCTTGCGCAGGCCCCTGCAGGGAGTCAGCTACTTTTGTGCAATTAAGACAGAGCTCCAGGGGGCTCCACAGGGAGGCGGGAATCTGCTCCAGTTGCCCTTGGAGTACGGAGCATGCGTAGCAGGAGGAGGCAGAGGCAGTGCAAGATCAGCACGGGGAACGCCTCTCCCTGGACTGCTGAGCCCAGGGTTTTTGGGCTGGACAGGCCTGTCTTCTGTCCCTCCCTCTGCTGACGACCTGCCTGCTCCTATTCTGTCTTCTAACTTCTAGCTCCTTCCTGCAAAAATGTACAAAGAAACTATACCATGAAAGTCACGCCTAAAGGGAAGATATTGGGAAGGGTGGGAGGCTGGGAGTTGCTGTGAGGCCCAGGAGGCGCGGCTCCTGCAGACTCTTAGGAAAAGCTACCATGTCAACTGCTTTCTTCTGCTCCTGGCTCGGAACCCCAAAGCCCAAGGAAGGAGCAGCCCAGACTCTGCGATGAGGCGGCAAAGGTGCAAAGCGTGCTTCTCCCAGGAAAGGTGTAAAGCCAGCGCCCCTGCCGCGGCGTCCTGTGGGGCGTCCTCTGAGCATCGCCCGGCTCTCCAGCTGCTTCAAGGGAAGCGGGGCTCTCTCCTTCGCTGGCCTACTGCCTCTCCTTCCTCTCTCAGACAGTGATGAAGGGGACCGGGGGGCCCTGCGGTTCATACCACCCCTTCCTTCTTCCCAGCCACCCTGGCACCTCAGAAAGGAGCCCCTGGGAGGAATCTGCCAGCTGGGAAGTCATCCATCCCGGAAACCCCCGATTCCACACATGCCCAGCACCCAGTTCCCTCCTAGGCGTGTCCTGGAGATGACCAGCTTATGATAAGAAGGATAAGGAAGGAAGGAGGGAGGGAGGCAAGGATGGACATGAAGTTACAAATGCTTTTTAATTTAACCCCTACCATGTGATTTCCTCACCCAGATACATTTTAAATACATTGTATATACTATAAATGGGGGTTACTGTAATGTTTCCTTCTGTGTAATCACAGGGGAAGACGTCCTCCTGATGACTATGTGACCCCATGGTGCCTCCTTCTTACAGCGGGAAGGAGTGGCTTGGAGTCCCCGAGCATTCTCAGTGGGTTCACTCACTCACCCACTCGTTCATTCGTTCTTTTTCTTGAAACCCGGAGGGCTGCCTACCTCAGGGATGCGCTCCCTTGGGAGTCCTCGGAGGCTGCAGTAGTAGTGGAGATGGTCCCACGCGGTCAGGAGCTCATCCAGGGCATCCTGCTGTGGACAGTAGCCGATGACGATGCCCGCCTGGCCGGCAGAAGTCAGACCCACGGCAGCTCTGCAGAGACACAGAGGACTGAGGCAGGCTGCGGGCCAACGTCAACCCACTCCACTGCCTTTCCTCCACTCATCTCACTCGCCACGAACACGGTCTGCTAACAGGAAGTGAGGGACCAGCGACTGCCACCCCCAGGGGCACATCTTTGGTCCATGGACTATTTTGACCTTAAGGCAACTAAAAATCAGCAGAGGTAGAGCAAATGGTTTATCTCTGACAGCCTAAAAATAGAACACATTCTTTCCCTTTTACAGCAGAAGTAAATTTCCATTTGTAAAGATGTCTCTGTAGGAAGAGCTATTTGTGAAGCTCCCTGACCACCTGAGAGATTCAGGGCATCCTCCGCTGCTCGCCTCCGCTCTCCTGCCCCTACCTCACGCAACTCCCTGTCCATCAGCCCAAAGCACCCTAGGAGCCTCATTCTTCTGCCTGCCCTGAGTCTTACGTTGTGGGAAACTCCTGCGTGCATGAAGGTAATCAAACTGTTTTCCTCGCTAATGCGCCATTCCTCAGCTTAAGGTCCAGGGTCCTAGCAAAGAACCTAGGGGCGTAGAGGGAAAACAATTTCCCCCTCTCCAGCAGCTACCCAGGAGCCCGGCAGAATCAACTTGGTTCCTAAATCAGAGGCCTGGGTACCAGTTGCAGGAAAACCATGATTAGTTGGGGGCTAGAAGAATGATGTATGTATTTAAAGCACACATTCTTTTATAAAATGGCTATCATACTTGTTTTTAACTGAAACAATATATATGAAAAACATATCAATCCCTAAAACTATTATTCAGATTTTTACATTGAACTTTATTAAAGCAATAATATATAATTTCTCATGGAACATGTAGAGAAGTAGAGGACAAAAGAAAATGCACAGTTCCAATTCTCAGTGATCTCTACCATTAATATGTCAGGGTTAATCTTTTAGAAGTAGCCTCATTTCCTGCATAGGGTAATGATTATACAAAATTGTACATATTGAAAAAAAGTACATATTTGTTTGATTTTATAATTAATATAAATATGTAGTCATTTTGGAAAATTTGAAACTTTCCAGATATTACCTAAATTAACATTTAGGTTATTTTCTTACTGCCTTGATCCTATGCATTTTTACATGGATAAAATTTACTGACCATGAAGAGCTTAAGGAAGATACTTGTGGAGGAAAAGATCTTATTCTTCAATTACAAAAAATATGTTGTCAGACAGGCATGCTGAGACATTGTGACTGCCACAATGGGTAATTACTAGCATTTCTCAAAAAAAAAAAAAAAACACAGTGAAGAGTTATTAATTAGGGGCTGGGGATTTAGCTCAGCGGCAAAGCGCCTGCCTGGCAAGCGCAAGGTCGTGAGTTGGGTTCCCGGTACCAGAGAAAAACCAAAAAAAAAAAAAGAGTTATTAATTATTACTTTTTGGCTTAGGATATAGCTTAGTGGCACAAGCGCCTGCCTGACGACGAGCTCAAGGCCCTGAGTTCAACTCCTGGTACCAAAAAAAAAAAATTATTACTTTTCATTTCTAGCAGAACACCGTGTACATGGAAATAAAGAAACTATGAAACAAGTCTTTGAGTTGAAGTGTAAGTTGCCAACATCACTGTGTTCTTTTTTCCTTCTCAATCTTGTAAAAGTTATACTCCCGATATTTTTCTAAACTTACTGTGACCAAAGGTTTATTCCGGTCTGAGATTTTACTCCCTATAGCTTACACTATACTTCCTATAATAAACTATCCTTCCTATAGTTTACATCATAGGAAGTATGTTTTCTGTTTGGTTGGTTTCAGAAATTGTATCTGTTTATTTTAAGAGCTTTTTATAGAATATATGCCAGATATACACACAGATATATGCTTTCTTGAATGATTTTACCTAGACTGTTAAAATTTTGAGAATTATTTCCACATATAAAATCAGCATCATTTTCAATCACTACTTCAAGATTTCACTCAATAACTTCTGGGGGCTTTAAAAAACATTCTCTTTTGTTGTGATCATATAAATTTTACCATTGAAAACTGTAATTCAGAGTATTCGTCATCTGTGTCCAATATTATTGCTATCTAGTTCCAGAACTTTTTTAAATCCTGAAACAAAAATCCCATATTCATGAAAGATTTGCTCCCCGCGTTCTCCCCTCAGGCCTGACCCGAGGCTCCATCTCTGCGGCTCTGACTGATCTGCGCACCGTGGATACGAGGCTGTATCCCGTGTGATTCTTCTCCATATTCCACGGGGAACGGGAGGTAATGTTCCTCGACCCATCTGGCTTGTCTCACTTGGATAATGTTTCCTAAGCCAACCCAGGCAGCAGCAGGTGTCGTCACTGTATTATCTTTCAATAGTTAACGTGCACACAGAAGTTACCAAAGCAATCACCACCTTTGTGTTGAAGGTGACAAAACTAACGCTTGTGAGTTAACAGCAGAACCCGTTCTAACGCTACCGCAGCCCGCTGGCCAGCTCACCATTTCTCATTCCATGACACTGACGCTGAAAGTTAAAAAACAAACTTACAGAAAAGGACAGAGAGGAGATAACTTTTTAAAAATTAAAAAGGCTTGTTAAATTCATTAGACTTCAGTTTTTAGAGCACTTTTGGTTCACACGAAAATGTAAAGGAAATACATAGTCTCCCTCTCCACACAGCATGCACCTCTTGCTGACGCTTTACCATGAGAGAGGCACAGCTGAGGACACAGCACTGACAGATGAACTAGAGTCCACAGTTTACATTACGGTTCACACACTCCACGTTACACAGCTTTATGGATTTTAACAAGTGCACAGTATCAAATATCCACCACTGTAGCACTGTAAATCAGAGTTTTATTGCCTTAAAAAAATCCCACATGCTCCTTCTACCAATCCCGCTCGTAATCTATGCCCACCCTGGACAGCTACTGACTTTTTCTTCTTTCACTACACTTCTGCTTTTTCCAGAATGCCATGGAGTTGGAATAATACAAGATGGAGCATCTCATACTGGCTTCTTTTACTCAGCAGCAGACACTTACAGTTCCTCCGTGGAGTGGTCTCAATGTGTGTGCAACCCCTAAACCCCTGTGTTGGACCCTCACCTGGCAAGGGAGGACATGAATAGGTGAGCTGCTGCCTGGCAACCAGGTCAGGAGGTCAGAGCCTCCATGGCAGGGTCAGCGCGGTGACGTCTAACTGTAAGCGGCAACTTGGTTGTGGATGCCTGGATACCCGGCAGAGCATCGTTTCTCCCAGTGTCTGTGAGGTTGTGTGGGTGAGTGAAATGAGAGGGGGAAAGAATGACAAATTCTCCCTCCCTCCTCCTCTCCCTCTTTCTCTCTCACCCTTGGCCCCCACAGTGGAGCTCTCTCTGGAGAACCCTAATAGTTCCTTGTGGCATGGGGAGACTCATCGCCCCTCTCACCCTCTGCCCACATGGATGTAGAAAGTAGCGCAGGCACCGCCTGGAGAAGGAGAGGTTCCCAGTGCCATGCCCGCTGGTGCCTTCCTCTTCCTCCAGGGTTCCCGCCAGCTTCTGAGCAATAATTTCCCACCTTTTTTTTTTTACATGTATACAACATATTTCACCATTCCCCCATGCCCTTCCTCCCTCCCCTCAGTTTCACAAAAATCTTCCAAGCCAGGAGTAGTGGTGAATGCCAGTGATCACAACACTCGGGAGGCTGAAACAGGAGGATCACTGTGAGTTTGAGGCCAGCCTGGGCTACATAAATGAGTTCAAGGCCACTTTAAACTACATAGTGAGACTGTCGAAAAAAAAAAAAAAAAATTCTTAGGATTAAAAGCCTAGGACTGGATAATTTCACTGGTGATTTCTACCAAATGTTTAAATACTGATCAGTATCAATCCTTCACAGATGGTTTAAAAGAAAATGAAGAAAGATAATTCTGAAGTAGTTCTATGATACTTGTAATGTCCTGATAGCAAAACCAGAGACATAACAAGACTACATATTAATAATGAACACAGGTGTCAAAATCCTTCACAAAATACAGAAACTCCTTCATTCCTGGTGGGGTTATGTCCCAATAAACCCACCATAAACTGGAAATATTAAAGTCAAAAATGTATTTAATATAAATAGACCAGTGAATACCACTCAGTGTCCTAGCCTACCTGAAACATGTTCAAAAGTTGGATTAGCACGTGGTTGGACATTGTGAACAAATATTCTGCCACATAACATGAGCCTGTGAAGAGATGAGCATGCAGGGCAGAGTGCTATGGAATGCACACCTCTTTCGCACCATCAGAAAGTCGACAAGTTGCACATAGAAGCACTGTAATCCAGGGACCTCCCGTAAAAGCAAGTTGAGTCTCTCATCATGTAGGGAGCATCACACACTGTAGTGAACGGAAACAAACCCCAGGGATGTAAGGTCAAAATAGGAAAATTAGTAACTGTATGCCACATTAGTAGAATAAAAGGCAAAGCACACAAACTATGTCAACAGTCAGAGAAAAAAGCATTGGACCAAACCCAACAACAGCATTGCATGATAAAATAGGGAACACACAGGATAAAAGAGGATATCTTGCAAGATCACATTTATATGAAATTTCCCATCATGTGACCCCATTACATGAACACACGGATCTTCAGTGACAAAAGATTAATGATTCCCCAGGGGTGGGAGTGGGACTGGCCATGAGAGAAACTGCTATAGAAAGAGCTCACTTTCAAGATGGTGAGAGTATTCTGAAATCAAATAGAAGAAATAATTCAATAACTTTATGAATATACTGCAAACAACCACATTTATTATACTTAAAATTGCAAACTGTATAGAACGTGATTTGTATCTCAATCAGTAAAAGTTAACCATACATGTGCTCAATAGCAGAGGCGGCAAACTGTTTTGAGACCAAGCGCCCAAACTACAACACTAAATCCATTTATTTATCACAAAGTAACGGCAACACAATGAAATGTGAATACGCAATGCTCAGTCGATGGGGCAGTGCTGGGGCAACTTGGCTCACCTGCCGACAGAGAGTTCT